GTTGCCATAGGAACGATCGGAACATTTTAAGAAAAAAAATTTAATAACTCTTCCAGTTTTCAACAGATTTTCATAAAATTTAATATATAGCCATTTTATTTTTATATAGAATTTTGTGTGAAATTTTATGAAAATCGGAGTACTATGTATAACATATAGCTGCCATACAAACGATCGTTAAAAATAGGGGAAAAAGCAAAACTGTGAATGTAAAACTGTTAATGTAAAATGTATAGGTGCAGGCATTACTTCATTGATATTTAAAATAAATAGATAATTTATGTTGCATAAATTATACAAACTTCGGCTTGCCGAACTTAGCTTCCTTTCTTGTTTTCGTTCATTTATTACTTAGTTTCTTTATTTTTTGTTTCTTGCGTTATTTTTCAACAATTTCCACCTTATAAAACTTTTGCTGAAATAGCTAAAGTTATAAGTTCGTGCCTAAATAAGAATTTGGCGCTCAGCGTTATTCATATTTTAATAAGCGAAATGAAATCAAAATGTAAGAAAAGTTCAAGAGTGCTGAATAAGAAAGAACTTATACCCACCCTCAAATTAATACTCACAGCATTTTGTGTACTTAAGCAAAAGTAAGCTAAAGCTGAAGACAATTCGAAAGGTAATTTGTTATGAGAAGGACAAGAATTAATAGATTTCTGCTGCTGATTAATTAAACAGAAGTCTTGACTTAAGCGGGAGCTATCAGCGGGAACACATTGAAATGTTACTTTCTCTCTCTTGTTTTATGTGCCTTGTCAGACTCTAATTAATTGATGGATGATACTCCCTGCTATTGCCTTACGACCACTTTTTATTGACATTTTTCTTGTATTTTTTTCTCGCTTTATTTATATTTGGGGCAAGTGCAGCTCCCGCTGTGAACTCTGCTCCACCGCCCACGCCAAGTTGTGCAATTTATGTGTGTGTCAACCCACGGATCCATTCCCAGCTGAGTACACCAGCGGAATACGGGCTCCTCTGTCCTCGAAGCTAATGCATTTTTGAAATGCAAGCAGAGACAACAACGGCCAGGCCGCTAATCTGCAAGGCAAATGCATAAACAACATTGCAGAGATGGATTTGGGAGCCAGTAGCAAATCCCCTAGTAACTGTCTAGCTGTCCAGATAAAGGCCCGTCCCTCCCATCCCGTATAAATCGCTTGCAGAAACTACTGCCGGGCTGCTGCGGGAGCATTCAAAAGATACTCCTCTTTCTTAGCGTATCTCTGAGATACGTACATAAGTACCTTATCGGCCATGTGTTTTGCAAGTCGGCTATCTTTACAGTCACTTAGATGGCGTTACGATAAGGCCAGGAAACGGTTATGTGTATATATATTCGGGTCGCAGCAGTGTCGAAATTAATTAAATAGTATTTTTCAGCAGCTTTTGTTACACAACAAATGGCAGAAGAAAGTCGCACAATTTCGGCTAAAATAAAAGTGAAATTACCGCCAGGTAGTGTTTTTACTCATTTTTTTAGATTAGTCATTTGGGAAACTCACTTTCAGCAGAGTCAAGCTGTTGTGTAAGCGAATTTATCTCAGAGTCTAGGTAAATATATCTGTAAAGGTTTTTCCCTACAAAATTTAAGAAGTTTTTATTAGCAGAAAAACTTAAGAAATAAAAACTATTTGTTCATAAATAAGGATGTTGGGAGGAAAAATAAATAGAAATGTTATATTGGTTCGCTTAATAGCCGACAAGTGTTTAATTTGTTTGTTTTTGCGTTCCAACCGATTAATAAATAAATACACTATATATATATGCCAGTATATAGCTCATTTCGTGCCTTGCCCTGACCTCAAAAGGAGCCTGTAATCGATGGAGAAAATAAACATTACTCAATGTTTTGTGTATTTCGAATGCATTTCTTGCGCCGACATAATTGGGTGAATCGTGTGAGCACTTGATGGCCTATAAACATTATATTTATTACCAAAAGTTTCAAGAGTGCAGTTTACAAAGTTCTCTAAGCCTTAACCCTAGTAAATATCCAATGAATGGACGGCATTCTAGGGCCCCAGGTGAAAGCCAAGTGCCGGTGAGTTTCTGCCGTTTTGCCATGTGATTTATGGCCAGCAGACAGCTCCATTGGCCTGGCCAAAAACTTATTTGTTTGTCGCTGTCCATTTATTATTTATGATTTGTTGGTGGACAGAGCGGATGCAGACTGGGGAAGGTGTCTCTGTTCATTCATAGAATGCCAACAGAGTAGTGGCGGAGTGTGAAAACGTGTTCAATGCCGGATTGCTGAGTTAACCCAACAAATGTGCATTATTTATGGGTATTGGCCAACCGGCAAATTCAATTATACAGATATTATCGTCAAATGGTAATTTATGAGCCAATCCACCCCAAAAGCGATACGGGGGTTTATCCAGCGATTTTTCTTGGAAAAACTCTTTCACCTAAGGCCACACAACGAGAAACCATAAGCTTAAAGTATATCCTCGACTTGGTTGTACTTTACACTCTAGGTTTTAATGTTTTAAACACTTTAAACTAATTTATTTATACTTTCGAGAATTTTATAAAGAATTCCTTCTTCTTTGTAACAGGTTAAGTAGCAATTATAAAAATATATTTACAAAAATCCTCCTCATTTCTAGCTTTTCTCCGGGCCAGGCAACATAATTTATTCGTAATGGAACTCCCTCTCGACTATACTTTATCAACCTTAGTTAAGTGGCTTAAATTAGACACCTAGCGGGGCCACTACTCACGGGTATCTTGTAGATAGTTAGCCATAAAGCCCGGTGTCTGATTAATGTGCCATGTGCATACCAGAAAGGTGTGAAAAATACCTGGTGAAGCTACAGCCACAGGTGAACAGAGGTGGAGGCAACGAACGAGCTGGATTTCCAAGAAGAGCTCTTTCCTATTGATTTCTTCTGGCCAACAGCGGTTTCTGCGGTTTGGATTGCCAATTGCGATTTCCAGTAAATATTTATGCGGCCGATTGTCCGAACACTTTTCCATTTTACATCAATTTTCCCCCTGACATCTTTATGACTCCCCGCCACGGACTCCTGTAAATTTTTCTTGGCATTTTCCAGCTCGGAAAAAGTGATTGACGCCAACCACAATTAGCTGTGGTCTTTTGAAGTGGCCAGAGATAAATGGAGCATGCTATATGCATTGGGAGGTCTGGGAAGTCTGCATTTAATAAACAAATTGGGAGCAGTGAGCAATTGTTGTGGCCCAATTGAAGGCAATGAATTATGGGCCTTTGATTCGATCGGAACTTCGAGGCAACGGATCCAGCAGCCGGATCCTGAGTCACTTCCAATGCACAGCAAAGAACTTCGCCCGATTTGGCAGTTTTTAAAGATTTTGTATAATAATAAACAGCAGACGGAAATTGCTGTGCCAAGAAATGAATAAATAAGGAAGTGTGTAAAAATAAGAGCACTATCTGCTGATTTAAATAAAGGGTTGATTCGGGGATCAATTTTCTGTTGATTGAGAATATCTAAATGTTTATACCCATCGCAGGGTATTATCATTTTAGTCAGAAGCTTGTTAAGTCATGAAGGAGTCATTTTCGAACCTATAAACCATATATATTCTTGATCAGCATGAAAAGCCCAATCAATCTAGCCATGTAAGGGGGAAATTTAATTTTTTCAAATTTTTGAAAATTTTATAAGGGGTTACATCATTAAAATTGTCAAAATTTGATGAAAAATTGTAATATTTTAAAATATTAAACTTAGTATGCAGATTTATAAACCTTTTAAAAACTAACATAGGAAAGCTTCTCGAATTGAATTTTGAACTTTTTCGGCGTAGATATGACTTTGTGAATTTTTGATTTTTGAGAAAAGGTAATATGTTTTTGATTTTGTATTATTTTTCTTAATGTTAAACACAAACAACTGTCATCGGTTTCTATAAACTTTGAGGCCAATCCCATTAAGAAACCTAGTTAGCAAAAATGTAAAGTATACATATTTCTTTCGGTGTTTTTATTTACCAAAATTTGTAGCTGGTCAAGAAACTTGAGGGAGAACCGGTTTAAGAAAGTCATCGTGTCAGATACAACCAACAACACTCTCCCAAAATATGAGCTGTCCCCTGGCAAACACAAAGAAATGATCACTTTTCCTTGCCTTGTTATTCACTGTTTTTTCCCCATCTCTGGAAAGCTTGCTAGAAAAATCGGTGTGAGTAAGATCCTACGATATACCACCATTAATATTTCGGAGCTTCTTACGCAGTCTACAGTTAACCGCAGCAGCTTAGCAACAACAATGGCAAGAAAAACCATAACAATACACAGTCACGATCGGACGATGAATCACGACTTTGAATACCTGGGTAAAGATACACCTTCGGTGTTTGCAGTCTCGTTATACTTGGAATGCCGTTGACGTATTCCACTCGCACACACTCCATGGTCGCTCCATGTGTGTTGTGTGTGCCTTACACTTATCAATGAATGCTTTTTGGTTTTGATAATGGCACCACCACAAACGACACAGGCACTTATACTGGCAAAAGGTCACTGATAATACCGAACACACACACTCTATACCCTCGATCAATACATGACAGGTATTAAATACATATATGTAGAGGCAGTGACTTTTTGGGTTGTTTTAAATTGCATTGAATTGAGCAACGAGCTCGTTGCATTGACACTAACACAAATCACACACACAGCACAACACACAATCAGAATCGAATCGAATTCGGGTTTTACAATTTCAATATCACGGAAAGTCCGATGCTTTCGGGGCCTGTCACCCACCTGTGGAGGTGCTTGTATTGGTTATTTACCTATAAAATCGTATAGGTATGGGTTCCCTCATCGAACATATATTTTAACTTCTAAAAGTATTATTTAGCACCTTTTCGATGCCTCACTTGTTTATGGGTTCGCACACTTTCTATACATTATATTTATACGTACATTTATGATTCGTATTCGTTTTTTATTATTTAAAATAATTTATATGTATTATTTTTCTTTATTTTAATTAAACGCTTACGTCGTTCTTGCGCGGGTTACGTATTTGTATTTATTTTTTAAGCAATAAATAGCAAAACAAACTGCGTCGTCGGTAAAGTTTGAACAGTTTGGCTTAGTCGAGCCCGCGTTTGTAGTAAATTAAAGATATGCGCTTTCACGTCTGAACACTTCAATCGTTTTCTTCGTTTGTTCAGTTTATATGGTAGCTAGTGCTGGCACATTAGCTTATTTTGGGCTAGTTCTGGCATATTTATTTTACATGTGTATTATAACCTTTTGTCAAATTCCCGAAAGGTAAATAAAATGTAAGTAAAATTATCAATCTGCTTTCGTCATGTAGGCACCAGAGGGCGCCTAGTAGCGGTTTTTTTTAAATAAACATTTGCACAAAAATTTATTTTCAAGCAGTTCATGAATTTGTTACTGCAAATGTCGAGATTGAAGCCTTTTTGTTGCCTATGACAAAAGAACATTTGTACAGTGATATTTTAACAATAGTAACAGTTTTCTTTTTGGATTGGGAAATGGGAAAAAAAATTGGGCAATTTAATTTCTTGACCTATTTCGGGGAATTGGAATTTGTAGCTACAATTTAATTGTAAAAATATTGTTAATACAATTATTTACTTGTTTTGAACATACATAAAAAACGTAAACCCCATGGCTAAATATAATTGTTTATATAATTAAATTAATTAAAAAGCATACAAATTGGAAAGAATCCGATGCAGTTGGCAGCTAACCAGAGTAATTACAGCAAACAGATATTGACCATTGAGCTTTAAATAGTTTCGGGTGCAAACACAGATATTTCGATGCATTAGAGGCGAGATCAAACTCCACTCAAAAACACAGAAATTGCCATGTCCAAAGGCAATTAATAACGCTTGAGCGGATCTGGAAATTCCGGCTGCTCCATTTAGGTGGCAATAATGGATGACCACCTGCCCAGTTGGGATCCGGCAATCAATTGAGCCGAACGATCAGAGATCAGAGCAGCCAAGTACCGCTTAATGCGCAAATAATTGCGATTCCCGAAAAATCGGAAAACGGGGTTACTCTGAGGCCTCCAATATAAATACGGCCAGAACCATCGAGGAGCGGCACCAAAGTCATCCGGAGCACCGAACGAAATGCTGCGTGAGATCTGCCTTTTCCTTGTCAGCTGTGTGGCCTTCGAGGCTGCCCTGGCCTGCGTAAGTTTTGATTATTTTCGAAATAAATAACGAAGAGGAAGTCAACACGCATACCCTGCAGAATGGCTACAAGGCCAAGCTGGTGAAGATGGAGAACTGTGCTGGCGAGGATGCCATTATGACCGTCGGGAGTGACTTCAGCCTCAAGCTGAACAAGAAGTGCGAACTCGTGCCCTCGGGCTGCATTATCAACAAACCCTTCGGCACGGCAGTGGCCAAGTTCAAGGTCCAGAAGGACGGCATCGTGATGAAGGAGGGCAAGATGGACCTGTGCGCCGCCATGGATCAGGCCTCCTCCGAGGCCAAGGACATGCTCAAGCTCTTCGGGGCCCCCTCCACCTGTCCCGTGGCCGAGGAGAAGGTCTGCGCCAATGACCACACGGTGGACCTCACCAAGTACAAGGCAATGTTGGGCATGGCTCGCGGCCACCTCATCATTGACTCTGAGATCAAGCATGACACTGTGGGTATTTCTAATAATTATTTCTATGTTAAATGCTATTAATATATCATGATCTGTATTACAGGGCAAATCCTGCTTCCACGCCGAGATCGAGCTTACCAAGAACTGAGAGCGGAGCTTGGACCATTAACACGAGCTGGGAAGGAGGTCTTATGTTTATATTATGAGTCTTGCAAATTCACTTAGCTTGTAAATACGAATACAATTAAAAAACTGGTAACTGGTGCGCACTCACAAAAAATAAACAAAAAATACCGAATGAAGATGAGCTGGGAGTTTTATTTTCCTAGTTGTTTATTCATGAAAATGTGAAGAACTTAACAGAATTGGGAAAAATACTAACAAGGGTAAGTTTAACATCTTTAAAATATATATATTATATTTATTTTAGACAAAACACTAGTAAAAAGCATTGACATTTGCGTGTATAATTGGTTATTTATTGAAAATATAAGTAGTATACGTAATCCCGATAACCAAGGTGCTGGTAAAATAAAATGCACAAAGCTAAAAGTTTAAATTTGCTGATTAACTTGTAACACTTTTATAAAGGAATTCACATCGTTCTTCTCGTCCTAACCAACCTAACTGTTTATTATAAACTTTTTTCCCTCTACTACCATTTAATATCCTTATTATCCTTTTTGTGCTTATTGTCTTTATAGGCCTTGTCATCCCCTTTTGTTCTTATTGTCGTTTTGGTCCTTTTCATTATTTTTCTTTTTCCCTTTTCCTCCATCATCATCCTCACCTTCTTTATTATTATTATTCTTCTTTGATGTTTCTGTACCATTATTTTTACTCTCGTCGCTACCAGTCTGACTAGTACTATTATTCCTGTTTCCTAACCTATTCTTTTTAGTTGCTTCGGTAGTAACCCTATGATCCAGGAAGAACCAACAGTCGTCGCGGCAATCCTTCAGAGAGTTGTATTCGTTGTACTTGTGAAACCTCGGGCAGTTGGTCACTACCTTGATAGAGACAGAGACAGAGACAAAGAAAGAGAGAGAGAGAGAGAGAGAGAGAGAGAGAGAGATCCTTCAGGGATATGGGCTAGGAGACAGGTTGCGCATCTTATTACCAGGACACAATCCGAGATGACGCGATGGAAGGCATAAAAGAACCGGCGCGGCGAATGGCAGGTACTTTCATGCCTGTACCTGTTGCGCTTCAAGCAGTTGTCATTCCACACTGGACGGTGAAGAAGGAGTGAGTCGGAGGGCAGATCCTTGATGACGATGTAACTATCCCTTACCATATTTATGTAATCCATCCGCGGCAGAGCTGCAGAGGACGAGCCACAGCAACAGCTTCATGTCGAGTCCGTCGACCAACTGAAAGTTTACCCAGCTAACACTCGGGAGGAAAGCTACAACTTGGTCTTAAATTCGAAATAAAATCCACAAGACCATGAACTGATGACATTTGAAACGCTTGAAGGCGGAAAAGCGGTGGAATGTGTGATGCAGTCACACATCAGTGCTGGTGCAGCAGGAAAGCTGTCAATTATTTACTTACCAATAAAATGGAAATTGGAAAGGAAAAGGAAACACTCCCAGAAAGCAGTGCACTGCGCTGGACTCGATAATATTATCGATGCCTTGGTTATTATGGGTTCGACCGAAAGCTTACTGCACGCTCAAGTTTCTCTCAATTGACAGTTTGATTCCCGAAGGAAAACCGCACTGGGAAACTCCCAAACAATAGCCCAGCAAGGGGTTAATGTTTGTATCTTTTTATCTGATCGTGTCACCCAAGGTTAATAGCGATAATAGACAAAGTGGAGCTTCTTGTCGGGTCTCTGGAGGAGCATTCGATTGGGAAAAACGGTATTCAGTTTTAAAAGCTCTGAATAATATACAAACTTTTCTTTCATTTCTTTTTTTTTTAAACCAAACAAGTGAAAAGCATTGACTTTTGCGTTTATAAACAAGAATATTTGTTATTTATTGAAAATATAAGTAGTACATATGATCCCGCTAACCATCTCGTGGCCGTGATAAGATAATAAAAGGTGCTAGTAAAATAAAATACATAAAGCTAAAGGTTAAAATTTGTTAACATGTTGATTAACTGGTAGCACTTTTATATAGGAACTCAAATCGTACTTCTCTCTCTCTCCCTCCTTTTTTCCTCCTCCCTTTCGACCTTTATTGCCTTTGCTATCCTTATTTTCCATATTACCCTTTTTATCACTATTGTCTTTTTCGTCCTTATTATCCTTTTTATCGTTATTTTTCTTTTTGTCCTCGTACTATCATCTATCATCATCGTCGACGTCGTCGTCGTCGTCGTCGTCGTCTTCCTTTTCTTCTTTCCCCATATCCATACCTTTGTTTTCAGTTTTGTTAGCAGTACCTCCTACCTTTTTCTTGTCGTTTATCTTAATCTTTCTAGGTGGCTTGGTAGTAGGCCTATGATCCATGAAGAACCAGCAGTCTTCACGGCACTTCGTAAGGTTGTTGTATTCGTTGTGCCTGTGAATCCTCGGGCAGTTGGTAGTGACCTTGATGGAGAAGAGACAGAGACAGAGGAGGAGAAAGAGAAAGAGAAAAAGAGAGAGATCTTTCAGGGATATGGATAAGGGGACAACTGGCGCATCTTATCACCTGGACGCAATTCTCGATGATGCGGTGGAAGGCATAAAAGACACGGCGCGGCGAATGGCAGGTACTTTCATGCCTGTACCTGTTGCGCTTCAAACAGTTGTCATTCCTCGCTGAACGGGGCAGAAGGAGTCAGAGGAGGAGTAAATAGATCTGCAGATCCTTGATGATGCAGCTATCCCTTACCATAGTTACGTACTCCTCCCCCGGCAATGCTGCAGAGGGCGAGCCACAGCACCAGCTTCATGTCGAGTCCGTCGATCAACTGAAAGTTTACCTAGCTAAAACTCTCGAGGTAAGCTACTACCTTAGTCTTAATTCCGAAATAAAATCCACAAGACCATGAACTGATGACATTTGAAACGCTTGAAGGCGGAAAAGCGGTGGAATATGTGATGCAGTCACACATCAGTGCTGGTGCAGCAGGAAAGCTGTCAATTATTTACTTACAAATAAAATAGAAATAGAAATAGGAAAAGGAAACACTCCCAGAAAGCAGTGCATCTTTTCGATGCCTTGGTACATGATGGGGTTCGATCAAATGTTTCGTTTAAGCAACACCGAATACTGCACACAATTGGCAATTCCCGAAAGAAAACCACACTGGGAAGCTCTCAAACAGAATCAATAAGCATTTCAAGGAAAAATCTACCACACCATTATTAGTAATATTTTCATTATATATTTCGTGTATACAATTTGTAACATTCCACAACACGCTTTTCCGGCTTACAAATAGGTTTCAGAACAGTAAAAACTTAGAGGTTAGCGAAGGTAGTGTAGTTAAGGTAAGGAAGCGGTTCATATTCAAGGATTTCGAAGACCATCCATCGTCTGGGGCAGAGCGGGAGGGTCACTCCTCCCTCGCCGGCTACATCTTCAGCAGATTCCCGAGAAACTGTAGTCGAACTCGGCATTCTTCTCGTTCAGGCGCCCCAAGTACTGCGAGTGCTTGATCCCAAAGCTGTAGGCGGGCACGTGCGAGAGGTTTATCTACGGCCAAGAATCATAAATAGATAGCACTTAGTTAAACCACAAGCATGGACTATGGCGATGAACAACTGAATTTAATCTCTAAATTTGGAAGATATATGCTTCAGAAATTGCTATAGGGCCGGTCGGCCCGGTTCTCCAACAGGAATCGAGCGCAGACCTCGGGCACACTTTTAAACCTTTCGGAATGACAGTAAGGCGAGTGCCGGATACCCAAGGATACGGCCGGCGGTGAACGCTTCTCCCAGTACTGTGGGCGAAGGTTTAGTTGGTTCTTTGTTTAGTTGTTCTTTTCTGCTAATTAAAATTCAATAGTCTGAGCGCGCACTTTTCCTCCCAATATTTGATCTGCAATAATAGATAATAACACAATACAATACTCTTACCTTCTCCGGACAATGGGCCCCGGGTCCTGGCTTGGCATCGTCGCTGCCCATCTTGTACTTGCCGCGCATCGAGTAGACGGGCGGCTTGGGCTTCACCACGGTGTATTCGCCATCGTAGTAGCCCGGTCCGGGGAAGATCATGACCGGTATCAGAGGCGGCTTCTCGCGACCCGTGATCGTGTAGGCCGGAGCCGAGCGGATCTTGCCCTCCTTGCTGCTGCCCATGACGGTGGGTATCTTGTAGACATTAGGAGCTGTTTATATTTTGGGGAGATTGGAATATTTAGTATTATTTTAGATTCTAGATCTTAGATTCTAAGCAGGAAGTTGGTTAGTTCAAGGGCTGGTCTCTGGGGCTTGGTGTTTGGAGTATGGTTTGGGTTAGTTTCGATTTTCAGATTGGCTTGGGGTGATCTTGACATGAAGGGTGCCTGCAAAAAAACACACACACAGAAAAAGGAAGTACTAGGACGGTAAAAGGGTTAGAGTTAAATAAATATGTCTCCTCGAAACCCTTCAGTCCTTGGAGCGTTGAACTTTGCATAATAAACTCTGTTTACCTGATGATCTTCTCCTGCACGCTGCTCGCCTCCACAGCATACTTGACCGTCCGCATTTTGGTGGACTGACCGCTGGTCACGATGGCGCCATCCGGCTGGACTACTCTCTGGTGACTGACCGCCGCCGCCTTGGTGGCACTCGCATCCGACTTACCGCTGGCCATCACCTTGAGGCTGGCACTCTCCTGCTGGCCGTGGGACACCTCCTGTACCCGAGTGGTGGTTGTGGTGCTGGCGCTAACCGCCTGGGAGTGATTGCCATTGCTGAGTGCAGGTGCGGGCAGGAGCTCCTTGTGGGTGCCATTCACCTGCTTGGAGGTGGAGCTCTGCGTCTGCTGCAGCTGCTCCGGCTGCTCCACGCCGTTGACAAAGGTTTTCTTTGTCGTTGTGGTGGTTGTGGTTGTTGTGGTGTTGCACTCACCATTGTTACGTACTGTGCGGGAATCGTTTTCAAAGTAAATTGTATAAAAAATAAAAAACTCAAATAGGAGAAAATAATTGAAAATGTAATGCAGCACACATGTATATAAATCAAGCAAATTAAGCACACTAAGCGTTTCAAATGGATCATTTTAATTCGTTCTAGAGAATATCAAGTTTGGGTTCCCTTTCACTTAAAGTTCCTCTTGCGAAGTCGATCGAAAGATCCTAGATTTATACGAAATTTATAAGAAAAAGCGTTTAATATGTTCAACATTCTTTTACTGTGGCAGCCTTTACTCTTTAATTTTCAAGATTCTTCCGTGGGAGTAGAGGGAGTAGTGGTATCTGCGTTTTCTGCCGTAGTTGTGGTATCTTCCGTAGTTGTGGTATCTTTGGTATCTGTGGTATTTGTGGTATTTTTGGTATCTGTGGTATTTTTGGTATCTGTGGTATTGGAGGTATTATTCGAAACCTCTGGAACCTTCATGAAGAACCGGCAGTCATCGCGGCATTCTTTAAAAGTGTAATATTCGTTCAACGAGTACATCCTCGGACAGCGGGTCTTCACCTTAAACCCAGAGGGAGAGAAAGAGTCCTGAGCTGTGAAGGATATTGATCAGAAGTGATCTTATCACCTGTATGCAATCGAAGAGGACTCGGTGGAAGGCATAAAAGCGACGAGGCGGCGAATGACAGGAACTCTCAGGCTTGTACTTGTTATGCTTCAAACAGCCAAGATTCCGCTCTGCATGAAGGCGAAGGACCAGGAGCAGCAGTAAATTGGTAGCCAGATCTTTGATGAACTAAGTCTTACCATTTCTACGGACTGCCTGCACCAGAAAGCAGTACAGGGCGAACCCCAGCAACAGCTTCATGACGAATCACGTGACCAACTGGCTACTTGGGTCTTAATTTCATAATAGTATAAACTGACGACATTTGAAACGCTTTCGGGTGGAAAGATGGGAGTGACAGTGGAGGTGTGGAATGAGTGTGTGGGACACACTCTCTCTTACCGGGACTGGCCAGTCGGCGTTCGCGTCTCTGGACAATGCGATCTTCGATATACGTGCCCCTGGGTTCTAGCGAGTTGGTGTGGTGTTGGTGAGTATTTACAGAGAGTCGGATGAGGGCATGGCCAGAACACCAGTGGATGTGTGCAAACCAAACATGGAAAACAAAAACACAAAAACGACAACAATCGCACGGATCACAAAAGCGGGCCCGGAACCAAGGGAAGCGTGCTTAGGGGTCATCACCTACCTGGAAGCGAGGGTATCGGTGCCGTCTTAAGGCCAAAGCTATAGGCCGGCGAGCTGTCCACCTTGCACTGCTCGGGATGATAGTGACCTGGGGCTGGAGGTTCCACGAGGAGCAGGGAATAAACAAAGAAAGCGGGCGACATGCAACATGCAACACTACCAAGTGGGAAGGGGAATCCTTACCTGGTACGTCAGTGGTCATCCGTAACTGCGACTTGGTGCCAAAGGTGTAGGCGGGTGTGGAGTGCAGAGTGTGCTTTTCCGGCTCGTATGCGGATGGTGCTACAATGGTGAATATTCAATGAGAGTATAAAAATCATAATCCTGGTTCAAAGGGCTCCTTCCACATATATGTAGTTTAGAGCGTTGGTGAACTTGCCTGGAGTTTCGGAGACTTGGTCCCGTCCCAGCCGCATGCCGAAGGTGAACGCCGGTGTGCTGCGGTCCACCAGACACTGCTCCGGATGGTAGTCGCAAGGAGCCGGAGTCTGGCTAACGGTCTCCGCGGCCGGACGACCTGCAATGGTGTAGGCGGGTGTATGGTCGAGACGAACTCTCTCGGGGGCGTAGTCGCAGGGCGCAGGATGAAGATGATCCGCCTTGGGGTCGTGTTTGCCACCAAAGCTGAAAGCGGGTGCTCGGTCCAGTTGCACCTTCTCCGGCGAGTAGGCTCCTGGTGCGGGGGTCTCACTGGGCTTGTGCGGGTCGTGCCGGCCAGCGAAGGAGAAGGCGGGATTGTGGTCTTGTCTAACTTTCTCGGGGTGGTAATCTCCTGGAGCTGGGTTACTATTCTCGATCTTGGCATCGTACTTGCCTCCAAAGGTGTAAGCAATGGTATGATCCAAGCGAACCTTTTCGGGGCAGTAGTCACCAGGAGCTGGTGTGTCATTGGAAACCTTGGGATCGTGCTTGCCAGCCATTGAGAAGGCTGGATTATGATCCTGTCGAACCTTTTCAGGTGAGTATGCTCCTGGAGCAGGTGTGTCACTGGGTTTGTGAAGGTCATGGCGACCGGCGAAGGAGAAGGCGGGATTGTGGTCTTGTCTAACTTTCTCTGGATGATAGTCACCAGGAGCAGGGGTATTGCTTTCTACCTTGGCATCGTACTTGCCTCCAAAAGTGTAGGCCGGATTATGATCCAATCTCACTTTCTCGGGGCAGTAGTCACCAGGAGCTGGAGTACCATTAACTATCTTCTCGATATGTTTTCCTGCCATAGAAAATGATGGGTTGTGATCTTGCCTAACCTTTTCAGGTGAGTATGCTCCTGGAGCAGGTGTGTCACTGGGTTTGTGAAGGTCATGGCGACCGGCGAAGGAGAAGGCGGGATTGTGGTCTTGTCTAACTTTCTCTGGGTGGTAATCCCCTGGAGCAGGGGTATTATTTTCAATCTTAGGATCGTTCTTTCCGCCAAATGAAAAGGCGGGAGTATGGTCTAGTCGAACTTTCTCTGGACAGTAGTCCCCAGGGGCTGGTGTATCACTCGAGATCTTTTGTATGTGTTTTCCTGCCATTGAGAAAGCTGGATTATGATCTTGCCTTACCTTTTCAGGTGAGTAAGCGCCAGGAGCAGGTGTGTCACTAGGCTTAGAATGGTCGTAACGACCTGCGAAGGAGAAGGCAGGATTGTGATCTTGTCTGACTTTCTCAGGATGATAGTCACCAGGAGCAGGGGTATTATTTTCAACTTTAGGATCGTTCTTGCCTCCAAAAGTGTAGGCTGGATTATGATCCAACCTCACTTTCTCGGGGCAGTAGTCACCAGGAGCTGGAGTACCATTAACTATCTTCTCAATATGTTTTCCAGCCATAGAAAATGATGGGTTGTGATCTTGCCTAACCTTTTCAGGTGAGTAAGCTCCTGGAGCAGGTGTGTCACTGGGTTTGTGAAGGTCATGGCGACCGGCGAAGGAGAAGGCGGGATTGTGGTCTTGTCTTACTTTCTCGGGGTGGTAATCTCCAGGAGCAGGGTTACTATTCTCGATCTTGGCATCGTACTTGCCTCCAAAGGTGTAAGCAATGGTATGATCCAAGCGAACCTTTTCGGGGCAGTAGTCACCAGGAGCAGGTGTGTCATTGGAAACCTTGGGATCGTGCTTGCCAGCCATTGAGAAGGCTGGATTATGATCCTGTCGAACCTTTTCAGGTGAGTATGCTCCTGGAGCAGGTGTGTCACTGGGTTTGTGAAGGTCATGGCGACCGGCGAAGGAGAAGGCGGGATTGTGATCTTGTCTAACTTTCTCAGGGTGGTAATCTCCAGGAGCAGGGGTAATGTTCTCAACCTTTGGATCATTCTTTCCCCCAAACGAATAAGCGGGAGTATGGTCTAGTCGCACTTTCTCTGGACAGTAGTCACCGGGAGCTGGCGTGTCACTTGAGATCTTTTGGATGCGTTTGCCCGCCATCGAGAAAGCAGGATTGTGATCTTGCCTAACCTTTTCGGGGCTGTAAGCTCCAGGGGCTGGAGTATTGTCTGGCTTTTGAAGATCATGGCGACCGGCAAATGAGAAGGCGGGATTGTGGTCCTGCCGCACCTTCTCCGTGTCGTACGCTCCGGGAGCTGGTGTGTCGCTTGTCTTGTGCAGTTCGTGGCGACCGGCGAATGAGAAAGCGGGGTTGTGATCGTGCCGGACTTGTTCGGGACGGTAGTCACCCGGTGCCGGAGTGGAGCTCTCGAGCCGCTGCTCGTGCTTACCGCCGAAGGTGAAGGCCGGCGTGCTGTCGAAGCGGTACTTCTCCGGGGCATACGAACCGGGAGCCGGGGTTTCGCTCACCGTCTTGGTCTCAGGACGGCCGGCAAGGGTGAAGGCTGGCGTATGATCCAGCCGCACCTTCTCGGGCTGATAGGTGCCCGGCGCCGGCGTGTCGTTGGCCTTAACGAGCTCCACGCGATGACCGAAGCTGAAGGCGGGCGTCCTGCCCAGAATGCACTTTTCGGGTTCGTATGCGCCGGGAGCTGGAATAGATAGTGGGTACCGATTGTGTAAGTGATGGGGAGACGAGTGGGATCGGGTGAGTGCTCTAAAAGCGAATCGCAAACTCTGTGCAGAGTGTTTTCCCGGATTTTCCTCACCTGGTGTGCAATCGACAACATCGTGCGAGGCCTTTCCTGCGATCGTGTAAGCGGGTGTCGAGTGTAATCGCGATTTTTCGGGGCTGTAAGCACCAGGTGCTATCGAGAAGTGAAAGAGTTTAGAAAAGAACAAAGGAAGCTAACTTCGAGAAGCCGAAGTTTGTATACCCTGCCGTTAGCCATCGGACTATGGTTTTGAATTTTGAATCGATCATAGCTAAGGCTAAAATTCATTAATTTCAATTCGGAAAGCTGTCCCATGCAAGTTTTTATTAGGCTTATAAATCTGCATACTTCATTTAAAATGTAAAAAATAAACATTTTTAAGGATTTTAACGAGGTAACCCCTTATAAAATTTTCAAAATTTTGAAAAAATTAAATTTTACGCGAACCAAGCTAGATCGATTCGGTTTTTGATGCTGATCAAGAATATATATGATTTATAGGGTCGGAAATGACTCCTTCACATCATTAAAAACTTCTGACCGAAATTGTAATACCCTGTAAGAGTAAAATTAGGGAACTGGCCAAAGCGGTTAGGACTCTTACCTGGCGTGTCGCTGACCTGAGTATGCTTGGTTTTCAGGCCAAAACTGTAGGCTGGCATGTGTTCTAGGACAACCTGTTCGGGCTTGTAGGTGCCCGGCGCTGAATTGAGTGCCAAAATAATGAATGAAACATCAAAAAGCATCTATGATTACTTGTGCTTTGAACTACATAGAGAAGAGCGGCTAAAAAGGATTCATCACTTACCTGGCGTGTAGTCCGGACGCTGTTCGTGATGCTTGATGCCAAAGCTAAACTCCGGCGTCTTGCTGAGCTTCACCTTCTCGGGGCAATAGGCGCCAGGAGCTGCGGATGGTACAGAGATCAGCATTAGGTTCTCCATGGGAGTGAGTGCTCGTGGGGAGTCAATACGGAACGGGAAAGCTCAACAATTCTATATGGATATATAATACAATATACTGTCCAATTGGGATCGCTTGAGATGGGTAGGTGCCTCAATACAGATACGATTACGGCTACATTGTTGGGGTAAAGATCATATCATATGGGGAATATTACCTGGTGTGCCCTGATCGTGTTGGATTTTAGTTCGTCTACCGAAAGTGTAGCGCGGCGCATTCTTTTTTGATTGCGTGACCTTTTCAGGGCAATAGCTATTCGGAGCTGTTAGTGTTAATAAAACATAAAAAGTTGGTACGGCCATTTTAGACTAGAGAGGTCTACTAGCTAGCTAACTAATCTAGGTGAGCTACGACTAAGGGTGAACTAGAGTTACAGCACAAGATACAGATACAGATACAGAGGAGTATGCGGAAGATAGATGCATAGTTAGTGATGGGTGTGTTGAGAAGTTAGTCAGAAGTTTGGGAGTGGGCCAACACCGGAACGCAACAGTTAGTTGGGTTACCTGGATTGTTAACAATGTACACGTTAACCTTAATGCGAAAGGAATACCGTGGTGCTCGCCGCTTGACCACATCAAGAGGCACCACACGATAATGGTTGGGACCTGAGTTTTCGATTCATTCATTAAAAGAGAAAAACGTCACAAATTAAAATCGAATCAACGCAAAACAATACAATAAACACAACACAAATTACTGAAACGCTTAAAGAACACATACATATATAATACAGTTTTGTTTATATATACAACAAAGGAAATTGAACAAAAAGAACATAATAATAAAAAACAACGGAATAAGGAAATATTTAAGAAATTATGTGAGCAAGTTCCCCTTTTCGTTGAAAAACAAGATTTGTCAGGGAAGATGTTCTATTAACATATATGAATCATTATTAATTATTTTTTATGATTATGACGCATTAATCTTTTCGAAAGGCAAGTAAATGGTTTAATCATAAACAAATGAGATGTCGCCCACCTTTTAATTTAATGAAACTATCAGCTAAATGCAATTTAATAGTTTTTAAAATAACCAAACAAATAACCAAAATTCAGAGAAAATAAATGTACATTTAAGCTATTAAATTTGGCAACCCCTCTACTTGTAAACCCTATAAAAATATCAAGTGTTTACTTATAAATATACATTCTGGTGTCATAACTACATTTCATACAAAGGATATCCAAAGGATATATGGACAGATATGGAAGATACAGAGATAGAAATCTAATCAAGCAATTAACATACTTCTACACAAGCTACCGAGTTGAGAGTCTGAAGAAAGGAAATAGTTATGAAAGAAAGGGTCTAGGCAACTTACAACTGGCACATGGTTTCAGATGGGTTAATGAGTCGCTTCTATGTACAAGGATGCTCCATGATTGATGAACCTTCTCCACTCGCTTAAGCCGCGCATGCAACACACACCGAACTCAACTTGAAATCCAAAACTCCAACCAATCCGAGTCCAAAAACACCACTCAAACACCGCCAGAGAAGCAGAGGAGGATATAGAGGAGGAGCTCCCACTCACCTGGTATCTGGAACTGCTTAAGGCTGGCCGGTTTCTGGCCAAAGGTGTACTTGGGCGTGGCATCGATCACCGCCTTGGCCGCTGGCACCACATCGTACTCCCCGGGTCCGGGATTGGAGAAGCGCGACAGCTCCTTGGGTCGACTCTGGAGAGTGGCAGCCCGCGGATAGTCTCTCCCCTTGGCCCTCAAGCCCGTAACATTGTATTGGGCTGGACCAGGACCAAAGGTCTCGTATTTGCCGCCCAACTTGTGACCAAAGGAGTAGGAGGGTGCCGCCTTCTTCTTGGAATCGGGCACTTTGCTGCCTGCAAGGTGAAGTTTATATTACTTTAAGATCCAAGAGGGAATTCGGGAACTCACCAATCAATGTTGGCAGCTGGACAATGGCCGGGCCAGGATTGGTGGTCTCAGCTGCTATCTTCCCGATGCGCACCGTTGGTGTCCAGGGACGCTGTTCCACGTTGCCGCCCATGCTTAAAGGTCTTATCTTTCGAACCCGAGCACAAGGTCCCTGCTCCTGCTGGCTCTGCCTAAGGCTGTTCTGAAAAGGAGTCATCATTAGTCGATATTTTTTAGTAATTAAACCCATGCCAGCACCTTCATTGTCTAGCTGTCTTTGGGCGTGATATTCAAGGTTAAGAAAATCTAGGATATATATATATTTTTCCGGAAAAAGAAACAAACACTTCCTTGTCTGACATTTACACATGAGAACTGCTGATGTATATTCATAAACTCTATAGTTGGGACCCCCAAATTTAGGTAACCTAATAATCCAAATTCCGCCCTACTCCAACTGCCAGTCGATGACACAAAAATCAATCGTCTGGGCCTTGTTTCGAATTTTCTGGGCCAATTCCGTGTGCCGGCTAATAGAGTCAGGTGTGTAAGCTAAACGACATGCATGGAAAGCCCCAAAAAGGAAGGCGGTGTCGGCTGTCACTCTGTCGGTGCTGTGTTGCAGTGTAGCTCGTTTCTTTGGGCGCCACTTTGTTACCAATTTTCTTGTTGTTGTTAGATTTTCAGGCTTTGGCGTGAAAGACAAACAACGGCAATAACTTTGCGGTAGGCTTCGTCAGTGTCTCACTTTGTGGCAGTGCCAGCAAAGCCCCCTAAACTAATTTAAGAAAAATTACCATTTAGCACGGAGGGTTGATTGAGCATTCATGTTTTCCATTCACTCTCTGTACTTTGTATTTAATGTTTTATTTATAAATTAAAGTTTTCTTTTACCGACGTCTGACTACTGCTTTGATTTATAATAGTCCGAAAATTTACAAACCCCAGAGCCATAAATCTAACAAGATTTTAGTAATGAAATCTTTAATATTTAAACTTTAATTTAGCAATACAATATTTAAGGATTTCATATTATTAGGTATACTTTGATGTATTTTGGTATAATATGTAAAATCTAGAATCTAGATTCTGCAGTAAGCAATATATATACAATATTATTGCACAAGAACTTCTTGGTGCATATATTTAAGCTTTCTACTTTCAAGTTTTTATCATAATTATTTATTCCAACTATTTCGAAGGGAAGGGTTGTGTATAATAAATAGTTTTATGTGCGAGACCCCCCTCAACAACATTCCTATTCCGCCCGAACGCCGGCTGCCCTGGGCGACGACCTTCTTTTCACAGCTGAACGCAGGCTATGACACGGCTTCCACCAAAGTGTTGGCCAATCGACAGGCTCAAAGGAGTTTGGTGCCGGCTGGTATCAGGATCAGCAGGAGGAGCTGCCAGCTCACTCTGGTAACTATCTGCCAGTGTAATCGATATGGGGTGGGTCTCTGGGCTCTGATTTAAATACGGATTTCGGGAGGGGTCTAGGAAACAAATTATAGGCCTGGTCAACAAGGTTGCGCCCCGAAACGAAACGAAACGAAGTATGCCAAGTGCTAAATATATTGGCCATTTTGTGGGGCATGTTAGCCAACAAAACGATTACTTTTAATGACTTATGACCGACAATTGCATGACGGACGGACGGAAGGGGAAAGAGGATAAACCTACACTCGAAACCTAAACAAAAACAAACCCGAACCCGAACTCAAAGTCGAAAAGAAAGGTGAAGCGTGCCACTTGTGATGGCCGTGAAAATTCGCCTGGATGTGTGTAAATAATTACAACAATGTTTGGGGGCGTAACCTGGGCTGTTAACAGGGCCAATGAAGTCGTTGTTTTGCCCCTCTTACATATGCCCCTAGCACTTGCCACTTTCAACTCTCAACGTCTCCTGACCTCGCATGCAATTCGCCATAAGTTTTGTTCTGCTTCACTCTCTGCCATATAAGGAGACTCTTACATCACCATTCCGCCCGATTGGCACCCACACTCATCTGGCTTAATATCATCATAATGTTCAATTGCCGTTCGAGGCCAAGATCAGCCAGGGAAATGCCATGAATCACAGACAGCTGAAAGCCAACACAGAAGTCAGACATCTGTCAGACACTGGAGATCTTAGACCAAGACCATTTGTCAGCCCACAGAGTATGTTAAGCACAGATGAAGAAAAACAGATTTAAAATAAAAATATTTAAGTAAGAAATAAAACTAATTTATATAATATAAATATATATATATATATATTGTAAAGTCAAAGCTAGAGCTAGTTCCTCAAGCTGAATCTTTCAAGCAAGCAGTTCAGAGACCTCTTAACATTGTTCCCAAGAAAATAGTCTATTAAGCTTTCAGTTCTAATTTGATTACTAATTCCCCATAAATACTACAACCATAGATTTTCCCCAGTGTAGCAATGCAACTCGAATGACCTCTGGTAAGTCACCGACTAAGAGGTCGCATTTAATCAAGTTAATAGAGCGTTAGTTGTTGGTTCATGCAATAAATTAGCATGTGACGATCAGATTTCAGTAATCAAATTATAGATGGTGATGTTCGGATTATAATCTATGCACAACTGAGAACCGATTAAGCCGATAAAACCGACTATAAAGCAGAACAGCAACGCCCACACGCACACACTCTCTCTCTACATACTGCTCTTTTTTTTCAATATTCTCCAATAATAATTATTAGCAAATAAATATAAAAACAAACCTTGTCCGATGAGAGAATTTTTATTTTGCACATTTGTCTTTGTTATCTTTGTGACCTTCACTACTGATTTGTTATTTTGCTTTATTAAATGTATGTTTACTCAGGGTATTATAAATTTAGTCAGAAGCTTGAAACGCATTGAAAGAGTCATTTCCGACCCCATAAGTTATATATATTCTTGATCAGCATCGACAGCTAAGTCGATCTAGCAATGTAAGGGGAAAATTAAATTTTTTCAAAATTTTGAAAATTTTACAAGGGGTTACATCGTTAACATTGTGAAAAATTGGAATAAAATTGAATTTTTAAAAATGTTTAATTAAGTATGCAGATTTATAAACCTATTAAAGAATAACACAAAACAGCTTTCCGAATTGAAATTAATGCATTTTTGTCCAACTTATGAATATTTCAAACTCTGATTTGTCGAAAATATTGTCATATAAAAATATCGATATTACGTATACGCACATTTATTTATTCCATTTCTAAAGATGTGAAGGAGTCATTTCCGACCCCATAAATCATATATATTATTGATCAGCATAAAAAATGCAATCGATCTAGCTATGCCCGACAAAAATTTAATTTTTGCAAAATTTCGAAAATTTTCTAATTTTTCTTTTTTTCTTTTACATCGTTAAAATTGTCAAAAATTGGGGAAAAAAATTGAATGTTTTAAAATGTTAAATTAAGTATGCAAGTTTATTAACACAATAAAAACTAACACAGAACAGCTTTCCGAATTGAAATTAATGCTTTTTTGGCTTAGTTATACCATTTTTGAACTTACGAGTTTACGAAAAAATTGTCATATAAAATTAAACATAAGCATGATTTTAAAGAATGTTTATATTTTTATCTTAGTTATTATAGATTTTCGATACGACCCTATTCAATCCGAAATAAGCTCGTTTTCTGGTTTATATTTAATTTTAGGCATTTATACTCAAAAATATTACGTATACGCACAAGTGTACATATTCCCTTCCAGGGTATTGTATTTTCAGTCAGAAGCTTCAAATGATGTAAAGGAGTCATTTGCGATCAAGAATATATATGATTTGGAATATATATGGGTTGGAAATGATTAATTCACTTCTTTAAATTCTGAATGAAATAATAATTCCCAACAATACAAATTAAATTAAATTTAAATTTAAATTATAATTAAGTAATGGCTTTATTGAAAAATAAATGCATAGCCAGCACTTCTAATTCTAGACCCACCTATGTATTGCATTAGTCAGGAGATAGTTTAGGGGTCGTAGGTCACTTGCTATCACTATCACTTCCACTATCACTTCCACTTTCGATGTTAACAGCGGGGAGGCCGCGAACCAAATGAGCCCAGAGCTGCTGCTGCGCCTCTATTTATAGTCCCGAGTCAAGAGAACAGAGAAAGGGAGAGCGAGAGAGTAAGAGTTGTCGCTAGAGCTAGGCTGAGAGGGATAGAGAGTAAGGCATATCTCTGAGGCACGCACAGAGGGATAGACGTTCCGTGAGAGGGAGGGAGAGGGAGTTTAGCATTCTCCCCTACATTTAACGATCGATTTTATGGCAGCTACATACATACATATATGATATTCATAGCTTTCCGCATTGAAATTAATGATCTATTTACATGTGCAAATTGCAAAAAAACAAGGGTATACAAATTAGGCTTCGCGAAATTATTTTCTTTGCCTGTTTTTATTTGATTTAAATTGATATTCACACACAATTGACCCGGGAGTGTGCACCCGCAATGACAACAACAACAAGAACACAAAAAAGGTAGATTTAGCACACGTCAGCTTTAATTTGTGGTATCAAAGTCAAAAATATTAAATAAGCGTGCCATCTTTGAGGGTAATCGAAGATTAAATACTGTGTTGTTAACTTTTTAAATTTTATAAGTCTATTAAAAAATATATGTATATATTTATAAATAAATAGTAAGTATAACAATTAATGTGGGTGTATTCAATTAAACATGATTCATCAAAAAATCATAAATATTCCAAATATGACTTGGAAATTAAACCAATTAACTGCGGTTAAAGGAAATACGTTTATTGTTAGTATGCCCAAAAATTAAATAATTTTAATTAAATAGCGAATAATGAAAGTAATGTTTAATTTAAATTTATAAGACTGTTTCTTATATCAATGGGAAATGCAGTTCATAATAATTCTTTATAAGATATACCCATAATGGTGCACTTTTTAAGCCCTACCTATCATGGATATACCCTTCTTTGTTAAACCAAATATGGGGTATTTTCATCATCATCATTAACAATCACGGTCGCAACACAAAACGTTTTTATTTTCAGTTTTATTTTCTCTCGACTTCATTTCACGCTCTCCTCGAAAATGGCGAATTATAAAAAATATGAGCTCATTCCCCAAAATTTAGACAATTTCCAGCTGTCCATCTCGGTGACTTTTACGCCCAAATACGGCGGCGTCTGTCAATATTTCTGTTTCCTTTAGCCCACATAGAGTGGTCCGAAAGAAGCCAGTTTGGAATTGGGTTTCCAGACGGCGGTACGACCCACGCCGATGGCTGAAAACTCCATGACTTCACTATTTATATTCGCCATAATTCGGTTGTGTGTTGTCTCTATTAACTATTGCTGGCCTGGGGCTATACCGAGGTATATAACTTTAATTAACAGCGAACAAGTTGTAACGATTCCTAACCAAAAAAGAGCAACCGGCAAACAAAAACAAAAACACAGCCAAAAGAGCGCAAAGCGAACCCAACTTGGCTGATAAAAACACCGCCAAGACCAAGACCAAGTCAACACCTGACGTCAGCTGGCTGAGTGAACTAGTTTGCGATCTCCAAATCTAATTAAGTTTGAGCAACATTCTCGCTCGGCTCCACGGCGGACGTGGTTTGGCTCTGGAAGCCGCAGAGAAAGCCAGGGAAATGAGGCGGGAAAAATTGGCAAGAAGCCTTCATACCTCTATCTCACTCTCTGCATTTACAACTGGAGCTGGGCTCGTTCTCAGGGCACCATTAAAATTCTAGAATGGATTTGTAATAATTAAGCGATTGTTAAGAGTTGTTTTCGTCTTGCTTTGTTGTAAATTTAATGGGACAACGCGTTTCCGCTTCAGCGATTTATGCGAAAGCAACGCGATGATCTCTAAATAATTTGCATATTTAAATGTATAATTTAAATGGCAGTCAGTTGATTTTATAAATAATATTTACACTCATGATGATACTCTTTCTTATATTAGATTATTAAATAACAAAGAGTATTTAAAAAGAACAAGCATCAGTTTAGAAATAATTTATGAAGTACGTTTATGTATATTATTTGTTGAAACTTTTCCCTCGAAGAGACTGTTATTCTTTTGAAACCTCTCAGGTCATATTTGAAATATTTATAACACATACTTATTTATATTTTTACTTTTATATCAATTTTTTAATATTTATCTTGCATTTTTCCGCTATATGATACCCTTTGCTGCTTTACCTTTACTTTGCCTATTGTAATTATATTAAATCATCATTAAGAAATACTTATAATACTTTCAAATAATTTGAAAACATTTCTTTTAAATAATTTCTTAAAGAAAATGTAGCTGTTTACCCCTGGTTACCCCTTTTCTTTACCCCTTTTTCTTTGGTAATTATATTTAATACATAAGCACCTATTAGATCACATTTTAAATATTTACTATGACTTGAACTTCCCCTCCGGCTGATTACCTTTCCGCTTTAACCTTTTCTTTGGTTATTGTATTTATTTTGTGTGTGCTTAATGCTTTTTTAGTGTGTGTTGTGACTTTGAAAAATGAGCTGAGCCGCTGTCTCTCGGGTCGAGCAAATACTGGTTATTAGAGCTGATGTCATGGGCTCTATCAGGAACTCCAACTGGGGACCTGCGGAAGGGTTACTCCAACAAGTGACATCAATACGAGGGGGAGTGGGTGGCGGTGTCTCATTGACAAAACAAAGGCAGGAGCTGCACAGCTGACTGGGGAGGCACCGTAGTCTCCGGAGTCCTCCGCCGCCAGGAAATGCCAATAGTCAGAGGGATAGACGGATAGACAGACAACACACAGTCAATGAACTTTGGGGTCGGGTCGAACACGCAATCCTCAGACTTGGTTAACGCCTACTCCAGTTTTTATATCCTTACCTCGGGCTAATGCAATATCAAGAGGTATCTCTCGTCCTCCTCCTGTTTCCCTGTGGATTTCCTCGGAATTTTTCACTACTTTCTTTTATTGCACAGAAAAAACTTCACTTTACTCCTGGGGGAAACAGTCCTTGTCGGGATTAAGAGCGATTTTTGGTGGTTTTGTAAACCATCTGTTCACTCGAAAAACTCTCGAAGAGATTCGCTGGATTCGTTGTCGTGTCTGATTTATTATTTCGTTGATTTGTTCGTTCGTTGATTGGGTTCAAGTGACAGCCGCTCGAATCTATTGCGGGGCTTCCAAAAATACACACTTTGCCGATTTACTTATTTGCCTTAATTTGTTTTCGTTTTGTTTTGCCGCCGCGTTGGATTGCAGGTGATGTTAGAGCTTAGGGAGCTGGAGCTTGAACCGCACTCGAGGGCTGTCGAACAGAAATTGCGGGCCAAAGTCGCCAGCACTCGCTTTTTCGTTTCGGTTTCGGCGACGTAGCGAGGCAAAGACGTAACGTAAGCTTTTGCGTTGGCGTTAACAGCAAATGTGGAGCTTTACAGGGGCAGGCTATGTTGAAGAGTAACTGTTGTGGTTTTGGAATGGGCACTGGAATTATGTAAAGCGGGAAATGGTATTGGAACTGGAATTATGAATTATTATGGAAAAGTGATCTTGAAAGAAACTATTTCTGCGATTTAAAAACATATATGTATGGTTTATAGGGTCGGAAATGACTCCTTTACAGCGACTGACTAAAATTTGGATACTCTGCAAAGTTATCAGTACACCTGTGCGTATACGTAATTTATTTATTTTTATTAAAACCAGAAAGGAAGCTTACTTCGGCACGCCGAAGTTTTTATACCCTTACTGTTTACAATTAAATAAGATCCTTTTCACTTGAATCGTATCGGAATCAATTAAAATTTATTGATATATTAATATGACAATTTTTGTCGTCAAATCGAAGTTAAAAAATCGTATAACTAAACCAAAAAAGCATTAATTTCAATTCGGAAAGCTGTTCTGTGTTAGTTTTTAATAGGTTTATAAATCTGCATACTTAATTAAACATTTTAAAAAAATCTAATTTTTCTTCCAATTTTTGACAATTTTAACGATGTTACCCCTTGTAAAATTTTCAAAATTGTGAAAAAATTAAATTCCCATATACATTTCCATTCCCCTCATATCTATGAGTATTTAATTAGACTTTTTTGGTTTATTTACATGCTTCGAGAAAGTCCGATCTAGGGGAAGGTCGCCTTACATAGACATTGCCCCCGTACGCCTGCCCACGACAGCGAATAGTATCTTAATGGATCATTGACTATCGGTAATTCGATTGGGGCTTGCGCTCCGCTCATCGGGAAGGCCTATTTATGGAGCAAACAAATGCCGCTTGTTTTGTGGTTATGTAATGCGAGATCGCGGTCTTGCCTCTGGCAGATCTACGTACCTCCGCCTGCTGCCGCTCCTCTGATCTGTGTCTGCCTCCAAATCTCAGTCATATGTGGTGCACCACAGACAGCCTTCACCCACACACGTGCCTAATGGAGCATGATCAATTCGCTGTTTGCACAGCAATTGCATTTGTTTATTTTACATAGTTAATGATGGAGAGGTATCATTGTTAAATAATAATATATAATAAACTGAATATGTAATGAACATTAGCTATAAATTGTTCTTTAAGAGGGCACATTTTTTCAATAGGAAAATAGCTTGAACATGGTATATTTATTATATTATGTTAGTTATTATTATATTATGTTATTATTATAGTATATTAGTTTTATCATTATTTATAATAAATGTGTGAAAATAATATTATGGAAACAATGAATGTAGAAAGAGGTCAGCACCGTATATTAATAAAGAATTCGATGGTTCAAAGTTAATTTTAAAGCTTTGGTTTATATTTTATATTCTTGTTATTATTTTTCAAATGTTATCCTAATAGTAGGCAATATAAATAAAATAAAACATTTTATAGCTCCAAATTTCAGTTAACCAAAAAACAATTATTTTATTCGAATTATAAAGAATAAGGTTGCATAGTTTTGGGGCTAGTTTGTTTAAAATTACACAAAATCCCTCGAAAATCTTCAATCTTTCAAATAAATAATATAGTAAAAAATATACTTAACATTTATTTCTTTGAAATCCCCCTAAATATATGATTGTTGCTTGAAAAACCGCAACGCTCCTCAAAGCTGGCTGTGATATGAATATAGTAAAACAACATTTCACCGCCACTTTGAAGACAGTTGCAGTCTTTACATCTTTAAATATTATTATACAATATTTATTAAGAGTCTTAGTACCCAAAATCCAAAACTATTCACAAAACACAACCTTTATTTTCGTTTCCTTTTTATTAGCAATATCACGTTGATGATTTTGGTTTTATTTTGGGCTTGCTCGTATGTTTATTGTATTTATATATAATATATATATGTTTGCTAGAAGTCAACTAAGCCGCGTATTATTATATGTTTAGTAGTGTAACTCGTAGATTGCATATGTTCTAAAGGATCAGTGGCCACTGCCCCAGCGATAGATAGATAGAGAGAGGAATCATCATCAGCATGATCGTAAGCCTACTTAAAAACTAACCACATATATAGTGTTCATATATATCGCATATAAACGTATACAAACTCCAGTTTGTTTCTTGTATATAGTTTGGTTTTTCCGTATCAAAAAGCTGTATCAAAAAGGTTGTACAAAATGCTGGCTTTTTGGTTATCGGTTTCGGTTTCGGTTTTACTTTTGCTGTTTTCAGTTTGATTTTGGGTTTTAGTCTGGCTAATAAGTCTATGTGAGTTGCTTCTGTTTATTGGTTCTGTTCTTCGGCTGCTGGTCTGATCTTTTGGCTCGCAAATATTACTTTTCCTTGACTCTTGTTGAAACCGCAGTCTTCCTCTTTGCTAAAAAAATAATAATACTAATTAAGGGGGCCCAACATAAAATAATTGTTCACAAGTACATTTTATTGTTGATTTTTCTGGTTGTTTTCGGTTTTTCTCTTGGGTTTTCGCTTAATCAAGAAATGATAAAATTAATTAAGTAAAACTTTTCATAAAAATACAGTAAAAAATATATAAATATATATGCATTCATATTTATATATGTCGTAGATCATTGTATCATTTAAAAAAACTCAAGAATTCAGTTTAAAAATATATAAAGCATAATATGGTATTATAAATGTCGCGTTCGGAATATATATTTATATAAAATCCATAATATATATATATCTATATATTCGCTTGGAGATTTTAAATAAAAATACAAAATCGCGCCAGGAATTAAACAATAAATCACAAAACTTAAACTAAGCACACACACGTACAAAACTAAGTCTAAAAATGTGGTTTGATGTTCCATTTATCATCATCATCATCGTTTATCCATCATTTATCTTTATCCTTCTTATCAGTTTGAGGCTTACTTTTTAGGTTTTTAATGCTTAATCAGTTTTCTTGTTTCTTGTTTCATCATTTTTACTTAGAGCACAGTGGCTATCGCTATCTTTTTAAAAAGCACAATTAAATATCATATATCATGTCATATTCATATCGTATCATATCATATTCATACCATATCTTATATATGTCGTAATCATGTGAAATGTATCAAAAATTGGCCTATTAACTACAGTTTACACTATATATATATACTTTAAACGCATTATCTCTTTATCCTTTATATATATAGTAGTAGCTATATATATATAAATGTATGTGACTGTCAGTATTAACGCGTTCATATAAACATAATGATATCATTAAATCGCTCGCTTTTTATCAAATAATCCAAGTTGGCCCAAGTATCGTCTGGGTAACTTGTGCATAAATCTATATATATTTATATTTTATATATATATATCTGTTGTAATCTTCTTCACAATATGTTTTAATGATGCTTTCAGTGCAATCTTCTTAGTCGGTCAGCGTCTGGGCCACTTGAGCCAGCTGGTCCATAAGCACACGGAAAGCGGGACGCTCCTCGGGTCCATGTGACCAGCACAACTTCATGACCTATTGGGAATTCAAAAGAAAAACATATATTATTTATATTATAGACAAGAGTGGTTGCTCAACTCACATCATAAATCTCCTTGGCACACGACTTTGGTTTCTCTAGAATAATACCGCGCTGCACACGCTCCACCACCTCGGTGTTCTTGAGGCGGCCATAGGGCATCTTGCCACAGGTGAAGATCTCCCACATGAGTACACCTAATAAGCAAAGAAATATATTTAAAAAATATTAAAAATAAACCATAATAAGATAAGAAAAACTCACCATAAGCCCACACATCGCTCTTGGAGGAGAAGCGCGTGTAGTTGAGGACCTCGGGCGGTGCCCACTTGATGGGAAACTTGGTGCCACCCGAGCTGGTGTACTGATCATCCAGGACATATCGCGCCAGGCCAAAGTCCGCCACCTTAACCACATTCTCGGAGCCCACCAGACAGTTGCGGGCAGCCAGATCGCGATGTATATAGTTGTGACGCTCCAGATAGGTCATGCCCTTGCTCACTTGTATGCACATGTCCAGGAGCAGGCCCATGTTGCCAATGAGGGTCTTCTCGTGCCGCCGCAAGTAGTTCAGCAAGGAGCCGTGCTTCATGTACTCGGTGACAATGTAAATGGGTCGATGCTTGGAGCACACGCCATACAGCTGCACCAGATTCGGATGCTGCAGCTTGGTCATCACCTTGGCCTCCTCGATGAAATCATCCTCGGACATGGTGCCCTCCTTCATCATCTTGACGGCCGTATCGATCGAACCGCGCCACTTGCCACGCCGCACCACACCGAACTGACCGGAGCCGAGCTCCTCCATCAGCATCAGTTCCATGGGATGGATCTCCCATTTGTCGTGGGACAAGCCAGCCGTTGGTGGCACGGGGCGATCGCAGGGCGAGGATTTGAGGCGACAGGCCAAGCCGCCAGAGTTGTGGCGATGATAGTTGATCAGATCGGGTATAGTTTCACAGCAATGCTTCTCGCTCAGATAATACTCGCAGCGGGCATTCTGCTTGATGTGATAGTGCTTCACATGCGATTGTGGACTGTGGAGGGAATAGAGGAATTTAATATGATATAATTTAAAGCTTATATAAGGCTTACACTTTGGTATGCAGCGATAATGTGTAGAGACCCTTGGTCGATGACTTGCGCACCACAAAGCAGCCCTCCTTGTCGCCCTGCTTGAGCAGGGATTCGGCTCTCTGTCGCGACATGTCGCCCACATACCATCTGAAAATTAGGAAATTAAATCAAAATTAATTAAATGAATACATCTTAAAACACGGCAAGTAAGAGCAGCTTATCGTTTTACTCACTCATAACGCTCGAGGCCAAGCAAAGCCTTGGGCTTGACATAGTTGCTGGGTATATAGCCGACATTGCCTAGGCCATCTTTGACCTTCCACCAGTGCTCCTGGGAGTCATCGATGACCTCGTACTCGGCATTCTGTGTATAATGGAAAAATATGAGTAAAGAAAGCAAATAAAGAAGATTTTCAATAAGAACTCACCTTTTCCAGCGATAAATCGCCGCCTTCGATGGCCTTGAAGGGATACAGGGCCACCACCAATTTCACAAAGTGTGAATTATCCTGAAATCCAAAATATTTTATTAGGTTTTAAATATATTTACACTTTATAAATAATGTTCACCTTGGCTTTGCAATTGGGGGTTCCTGGTGTGGGTATTCCGCCCGGCATATTGGCATCCAATAGAGTTCCGTTGCCGTTCAATAAAGTTGGCGACTGCTTGAAAGTTGTCAGCGAGGACTGATTTTTGGGAAAGTTCATTAATTTCGATCGATGGTTCAATTAGTTTCCCCACTCACCTGAGGCTGCAGCGATGTGGGCGTGCAACTGCCGCCACCACCTCCTCCTCCACCTCCTCCGACGCCTAGGCCAAGGCCGCCTCCGCCTCCCACGCCCACTCCCACTCCGCTGCCCACAACTACACCGCCGCCGAGACTGCCGGAGCTGTTGTGCTGCAGGCTGAACTGGCTGTTGGTCGTCGAGCTGTTCGGGCTGATGCTGCGCGTTGAATTCTGGGCTGGAGAACTGCCGTTGCCTGGAAAAGTGGGAAAACCAATTGGAAATTAGTAAATAAATTTCAATTTACTTAAACAGATTTTTATTCATTTAAAATAGATCAAGTGGAAAGTAATAATCAAATTCAAATTTGTTTAGTAGCTCAAAAATAATTTTTATTTAATTAAACAAAATCAAATGGAAATTAATAATTAAATTTAAATTTGTTTAGTACTCAAAACTGATTTTTATTCATTTAAAATTTAAATTATTCAAGTTCGTTGACCAAGTCTTTTTTTGCTGGGTATAAGAAATATTCAAGTTTGTTGCCTAAGTCTTTTGTTTTGTGGTCGGAAAAAGACAACAAAAAGCGGCTTTTTTTATAGAATGATTAGCATTATTATTAATACATAATATATATCAAAATTTTTTGTTCAGTAAATTTCTTGAATTTATAAACATAAAAATTTTGTTATAGAAATCATTATTGTTGGAAAATCAAAATCCAATAAATAAGCAAAAACTGCCTTAATTTTAAATCGGAAAGCTCTTCTGTGTTGGCTTTTCTTAGGTTAAAAAATCTGCATACTCAATAAGAAAAATTTTTAAAAGTACAACTTTATCAATTTTTGACAATTTTAACGATGTAAACCCTTAATTTTTTTTTGAAAAAAAAGAAAAAGAAAAAAATTCTGCCGGAGATGGCTAGATCGAATCGGTTTTTCATGCTGATCGAAAATATATATACTTTATAGGGTCGGAAATGACTCCTTCCAAACTTTTGGCTAAAATTATAATACTCTGAAGGAGTTCAAATATGTATAATATATTTCTTGCTTCGGAAATTACAAAATAAAAGTATTCAGAAATTGTTCCAATTTGTAAAAATAATATAATATGTATAGCACTGATTTTCATTGATTTTTATATTGTACAAACATATTTAGCTTAATATAAAGGCTTTTAAACATTCAAAACTCAACTAAATTTAAACATTTTCAAGCCCCAGGGCTGGCCAATTAATTAGCCATCGAAAGATATCGCAAAATCGCCTAATGTTAGCCACTTCGATGTCTATTTTGTATTTTTTCTTGTGGCGGCTTGCGATTCTTGTCAAGGTAATAATTAATTAGACGGCTGACACTGAACATTGACAAGATTTTCAATGGTTCAAGGCACCCGTCGCCCACAATTCGCAGATAAATCAAAGACATCGTCAAAATCGGACATTGGAAAGCTCTTTGATGAGCTCCATGCTCCGCAGACGGACTTTGCTCGGTTTAAAGCGATTTCATCTTGGGGGTTTTTCAAGTAATAACAACAATAGTAATAATAATAATAATAATAATAACTGGCTGGTTAGCTGGCAAAGTGAACTCCAAAGTGTAACCCCAATTAAAGAAAAAATACTCGTAAATAAAGATAAATAAATGAAACTTAAATGCCAGTCGAGTTTCGGCACTTGAGTGGGCGTCTCTTATGCAATCGCCCCTCAGCAAGTGAGTCAACATTGGCGTCTGATATACATTTTCGTTTTTATATTTTTTGTTGATTTTTCGGATTTTTTGATTTCAATTTTCAGTCTTTGTTTTCTGTGCCTTTGCCATGCAAAGTGGATTTTTGGATGAGCCGAAGAAGTGCTCGAGAATTGCGAGCAAGCTTCTTCGCCTATTCAATTCAAACAAACAAAACAAAACACATAAATATATATATATATATATATATATATATATATATCCATAAAATAACAAAAAAGTGAAGGTTAATTGCCAAGCGAAAGTGACTGCCTGAGGCTTAGTTAGACGCTGATTTCCCAAGTCGCGACGCTATGCTATTTATATACACAAATTGATACGAAATATTATGGCCAGATTGCCCTGCTCAATTGATAAGGCAATTTTCTTTCCCCTCCTTCAATATCTAACATTTTTCATGTGAAAACTTGTACTAGTATCTCCTTGGCACGCCTCCTTTTCCAAGCTGGCAGCCGGCAAATGATGACGAAAGCCTCGAAGGCTTTGAGAGTACAAAGAGTACTCCACTCTGTTGATGCCAGATTGAAAAACTAAAATAGAAAGTTTTCCTTTTCTTTCCCAGCGAAACGCAGCACTTGCTGCTGTTGCTGCTGCTGCTGCTGGTTGTTGTTAAAGCCGCGTTCAAGCTTTTGTTTGGCCATTTTCCATGCAAATGAAAAGCACTTGAAGCATTTTCCCGGCACGTATATACTTATATCAGCAACAACAACAAGAAAATTGCCATCTTTGAGGTATAACTTCCTCAAGTTGTTTGCATTTTATGCTTGTGTTTGGCTTTGACTTTAGGCTTTGAAAAATAATTACATTTTTAAGCCATATTAATGGGAATTTATAGATTTATTTATAATAATATATACAAAGAAAACTCCTTATAAAAGAAATAACATAATGATAACAGTGTATTTAAAATTCCCCTGCTTCTCCTGCTAAAGTTTTTCAATCATTTTCCCAACGGAAGTGCACATTTCTCATTTTATGCATTTCTTTCGCGACATGAAAGCTCTCTTTCCCCCATTAAATTAATCATAAATGGCGAGAGGAGATAGTAAAGTAAGCTAAAGTAAAATGGATATCAACAGGTGCGTTGTTACCAAGCCCACATTTTGCAACACACTTTTGTCATTACCACCAAGCCATGTACAGGTATTTATGGCTAATTGTGTAATTGCGCTGCTTTTGTCTCTCTGCACAGGTTTTAACCTCTTTTTAGTCGCCGTTTTCCCCTCTCATCTGCTTACCAACAACAACAAAAACAACAACAACAAACAATTTGTTATGCAAATTGCAATTCTTGTTATTGTTGCTAATGCAAAAGACTATTGTTATTGCAGCTGGGCTCAACCTCGACTCGAGTCGAGTTGTTTTTGTGAAAATCAAATGCTGCCAAGACTTTCAAACACGTGTTTGCCGCTTTGTTCTCAACTCTTTTAATGCCAAACAGGTGAAACTAATCGAAAACGCTTGAGCGATGACTCAAAAACGACTCTGAAGTTGAACAGTAAACGCCCACAAAAGTTACAAAAACAAGATCAGGGTCTAAGACCAATTGAAATTATTAAAGAATGTTGTTGCAAAATTAGCATAAAGGTAGTTTTCCATGTTCTGTTAAGGTGTTAAAAAGGTACGTAATTTTTATTAAATAATATGTAAAATTAATTTGTACATGACATATTAGATTTACTATTGCAGAAATAATAAAATTATCAGAGGAACAAAAACAAAATTTATACATAGCAAGGCAAGGTTTACCAAAACAATGCTGCTTTTGCTTTTTAAGGATTCTCTCTCGTGGTTATTATCATCTCCCTCTACAATAGTTTTCTATTAGCAAAAAATAATTATTTATTTTGTTAAGATCAAATACTTTTTGAAACCAAAGCACGCTATTACCAAATTCTGAATCATCATCACAAAACAAGCAAAATCTGCACCCATCTTCATATCTTCTACAGACAAGATTTATAAAACAGAAGTCATTGAAATACATTTACCCCTCAAAGTCCATTAAAACATGTATTTATAGCTAAAGAGTTATTTTAGACATAAATAATAACCAGTTTCTTTAGTTTTTAAGGCAAGACAAGAATCGGATTATTACCCAGCTTCAGTGCCGATAAAAGCATCATAATGTTGCTTCCAGCGACTGTCTTCTGCCTTGGCGAAGACTCTCTACGAAGACTCTCCACTGGAAAGAGATTCCACACTCTTTGGCGGTAATTGTGTCAATTCACTTTCACATAAATCGCTTGTTCGCTTGGTTTTTTGTTTTATTTTTTATTTTTATAAATAGTTGCTTTTGCTATTTTTTTGCAATTTGCAATTCTTTGAACTACAGTTTTCAGGTTGTTTGTTGCTGTTGAAGCAAACTGGTTTCTCGGTTGCTTCCTTTTTGCAATTTGTTGCAGTTGTTATGGTGGTTGTTGCTTTGTTTTCTTCTCTTTTTTTATTTTAAATTTATCTTTATAGTTGTAGTTGTAGTTGCTGCTTTGCTGTTGACCTTTAAGCGTTCCCCATTCAGCGCGATGCTGAGCGGCTTTTACCGTTAAAAGAGCGGCCCTCAAGCGAATGCAACAAATAAATTAAATTACAACAAAAAACCAGAGCTTCCTGTGCTCAAGACTATAATTATTATTATTTTATTGCCAGTAGTTTTCCACTTTTTATTTATATTTTGCAATATTTAGTGTCTGTCTTCTTCTCTTTTTCTGCTTTCACGCAATGGCAGGTGGTGACGCCATCTTGAAACCATTTTCCATAGACAAGACTTTATTTTAATTTAAGCATTAGCTTTCTAATGATGTAAATATCATTTTTTTAGACACAAAACAAAACCACAACTATCAGGTTATATATTATGATATTTTCATTAATTTCCATCCATTTCCACATCGAGGGTAGAAATAAAGCAGATTTTGTGCGCGACGCCAACTGTTTCAGTAAATGTTTAAAAGCCAACTGGAACTGAAATGGCAACTGAACATTTTTTTCAACAGCAGCAACCTGAGCTGAGAAAAAAGCAGCAACAGCAACAGCAACACGGAGGCCATAAACATAAAGTAAAACTTAATTGTAGCACTGAAGAGCGGAGACTTGGCGAGTGGAGAGTGGAATGGAGATCCAAGAGAATGGAGAGCAAGCAGCAGCAGCAGCAGGCTCGATCCACAAAAGCAGAAGCCGCCAAGCGAAACGACGGCAACTTGGGCAACATAAACAAGCACAGCGAATTATTTTGTACGGAAATAATAATATTATTATATTACTATTATAACTATTATTAGAAAAAAAAAGATTAATTGGAGGTTTTCTAAAATATAATTGTATCAATATTTAAAGCGCAATTTGTTGTTTAGCTCGATATTTTAACTTTACGGTTAATATAATCGAATAAAATAATATATTTATTTGCTTTTTATTGGTGTCGCATATTTCATTTTTATAATCTTGTAGGGTATTATAATTTCAGTCAAAAGCTTAAAGCAATGTGAAGGAGTCATTTCCGACCCTA